AAGCATATGATCATCTAATCTTTGACAAGGGGTCAAGAAAAGTGAAGTGGAGCAAGGAAAGCCTCTTTAACAAATTGTGCCGGCAAAACTGGATGGCTACATGCATAAAAGTGGGCTCAGATCTCTGCCTAACACCATGTACAAAAGTAAGATAAAAGTGGATTAAAGACCTCAATATTAGACTGGAATCCATAAGGTACATTGAAGACAATGTTGGCAAAACCCTCCATGACATTGAAGCTAAGGGTATCCTCAAAGATATTATGCCACTGGCCAAGCTAGTGAAAACAGAGATAGACAAAAGGGACTACCTTAAACTAAGCAGCCTCTGCACCTCAAAAGAAACAGTGACCAAAATACAAAGACAGTCTAGAGAATGGGAAAGAATATTCGCTGAATACACATCCGAAAAGGGGTTGATATCAAGAATATAGGAAGTACTGTTTAAACTCCACAAGAAGAAAACATCCAACCCCATCAAAAAATGGGGCAATGAAATGAACAGAAACTTTCTCAAAGGAGAAATACGAATGTCTAAAAGGCACATGAGAAAATGCTCTACATCATTAATCATCAGGGAGATGCAGATCAAAACCACAATGAGATACCATTTCACACCACAGAGACTGGCCCACATCCACAAGAACAAAAGCAACAGGTGCTGGTGTGGATGTGGCGAGAAAGGGACCCTCCTTCACTGCTGGTGGGAATGCCGACTCATTCAGCCCTTTTGGAAAACAGTACGGAAGATTCTCAAAAAATTAGAAATTGAGCTCCCATTTGATCCAGCAATACCACTCATGGGAATATATCCCAGAGAGGCAAAAAATTATAGTCAAAGTGACTTCTGCACTTGTTTTTTCATTGCAGCACTCTTTACAATTACCAGAATCTGGAAAAAATGAGTGCCCGAGAACAGATGACTGGTTAAAGAAACTTTGGTACATCTACACAATGGAGTACTATGTAGCTGTTAGAAAAGATGAAGTCATGAAATTTATATACAAGTGGTACCACATGGAAAGTATCATGTTAAGTGAAATGAGTCAGAAAGAGAGGGATAGACATAGAAAGATTGCATTCATCTGGGGAACATAAAATAACAAAACAGGAGACTAACACCTAACAGTGGCCGAGATTAGTACCAGGAATTTTGCTCCATGGCTTGGAGGCCAGCCACACATCCGAGGGGAAAAGGGAGCTCAGATAGAGAACGGAGCACCAAATAAAGGGTATTGGGAGGATCCTCCCAGGATGGGAGAATCATGCTGAAAGTAGACTATAGACCAAACATAATTGCCACTCAATGCCTCTTTTGTAGACCACAATACCCAGGAGGAGAGAGAGAACAGAGGGGAATGCCCTGCCACAGAGGCAGGGTGGGATGGGGGGGATGGGGGTGGGAGGGATACTGGGATTCGTGCTCGTGGTGGGAAATGGGCACTGGTGGAGGGATGGGTACTTGATCATTGTATAATTGAAACCCAAACACAAAATTTGTAAGTTTACAACTGTACCTCATGGTGTCTCACTAATAAAAGAAAAAGAAAACGTCGGACTGCAGTCGAATCTCACCAAGACAATGTTTATGAGACACAGAATCATTTCTGATTTTCCATTCACTCTCAATGGAAATAATATCTCTGAATGCAGCAGTTATATGTACTTAAGTTGAGAACTCAACATGAAGAACGACTTGGCATGTGCATTGCACAGGAGTAAGAGAATGGCATGGAATGCCTTCAAGAGCATGGAAGAAATAGCTAAGAGTATGAAGAACCTCCGGCTCTGGGCACATTTCTTCAACTCCACTGTTCTTCCTGAATTAATATATGCCTCAGAGACTTGGGCCCTACAAAAACAGGATGAGAACACTATTGGGGTCTCCCAAAGAGGAATTGAAAGAGTTAGGCTTGGAGCATCACTCAAGTGAAAGAAGGAATCCGGAGTTTTGACCTCCATCAATGATCGAAAATTAGGTACGCTGTCTCTTTTGCCACGGCATCAAAAATCAGATGGGCTGGACACATAATTTGATTTGGAGATGACCTCTGCACTGGAACCATTACCGACTGGATTCTATGGAAAGTCAAAAGGTCACATGGCCGCCCACCTACGAGTTGGTCAGTCTTCTCCATCAAGATGCTGTAAGATTGGTTTGAGGCTCTTCGTGTTCTTGGAGCAAGCAGATGCCATTGGGCTACATTAGCACATGACTGGGACAAATGGAAATGTTACTGGCTCCCGCTTAAGCAAATCATTGAGTAACAGGATGTCAAGTGATCAAGTGGCATATATATATACATATATATATATATGTACACATGCACACCAAGAGGTATATACCTCTTCTAGAGCCCGATAAGCTACCAAGAGTATCCCACCTGCACCGCAGAGCCTAAAATACACAAGCTAGCCGTGGTGTATTTTATTGCCAAAAACAGTAACAATTATGGGTCTTATTCCCCTGATTCTGAAAGAGTCTCCAATACGTTGGGAAAGACAGGTAAGGAAAGGCTGCTAAAATCTCAGGACTGGTATGAATGGAAACATAATTGGTGCCAGCTCACGTAAATCAATGAACAACAGGATGACAGTGATACAATGATACAGTGATATGTGCCAAGAACTGGCCTTTCAGCACATATTTAAATTTAAAAATATTATTCGATCAATCCACTTTAAGACACTTTTGGTAAATGTTATATAAAATAATACCTCTCAGACTTCCTTGTATTTTTCAAACCTTGTTTATGTTCCTCTCAATAAATAAGATAGACTGATATAATCAGGCTGGAGTGATAGCACAGTGGTAGGGCATTTGCCTTGCATGGAGCCAGCCCTGCAGAGCTGGGTTCAATTCCTCCATCCCTCTCGGAGAGCCCAGCAAGCTACCCAGAGTGTCTTGCCCGCATGGCAAAGCCTGGCAAGCTACCCATACGTATTCAATATGCCAAACACAGTAACAAGTCTCAAAATGGAGTCGTTACTGGGTCCATGTGAGCAAATTGATGAGCAACGGGAGGACAGTATTTGTTTGGACAGTGTTGATATAATCAGAAGAATCACAAATTATTATGTAATTTTTAGTTCAGTTGGCAAAGGACTTGGTTTAAGCCCATACAAATATCCTAACCTTTGCTTGATCTGATCTCCAAAAAATTACCTCACTTGTATGATAATCACAAATAGCACCCTGGTTAATAATTCACAGGATGCCTTGAGATGCACTTATGAAACAAATGTGAATGCACTTTGAAAGCTAGCAAGTGCTTAATGAATGTCAGATATTACCTAATTTGGGAAAGCATTAAGATGGATATCAAATTTATGTAAATATTTGTGTATATTTGTCAGATGTTATTATAAATATACAAGGTTAGAATACATAGTGCAAATATGACAGTTTGAAATTTGTTCTGCAGAAGGATTTTAACATTTGTAAGCTTCTACCTATTTTCAATAAAGGGAAAATGTGATGTATCCTGCTTCTAATTAATTAAGGTAAACTGGTAATTCTTCCAGAGTATTACAACAATGTAATATAGTACTTATTAATATGCTAGTTATTATAGTGACAATTGTCTAAATCCTAAGTAGTGGATTAAAATATGTGGTTTTCTACATCATGTCGCAATGTAAAAAGAGACATAGGTAAATGCAAAAATCAATGTGTGTGTGTGTGTGTGTGTGTGTGTGTGTGTGTGTGTGTGTGCTGAAGTTCCACTACTGCTGCAAAACATAGAAAAATGAATCATGTAGCATGAGAGGAAATCTATGGATAAATATTCATGTATAATTTGGGAGGTAGCATAAACAAAGTGGTGTTAAGAGATAAAATTTGATGCACATTGGGGCTGGAAAGATAGTAGAGCAGCTGCCTACATATGGTCAACCGGGATTTGATCCCCAACATCCCATGGGGTCTCCTGTGTGCCTCCAGGTGTGATCCCCAAGTGCAGAAACAGGAGTAAACCCTGAGTACTGCTGGGTGTGACCCCCAAACAAACGAAGATGCAGAGAAGTGCGGGGGCAGACATTTAAAAGAAGCAATAAGGCTGGACATTTGTTTCAATAATGTTGAGAGATGGTTTGAAAGGAGCTATTAGGGTGCTGTGATCTAGAGAAATTCTAGAATGGTCCAGTGGAAAAGGGCTGAGGTTTCAATTAGATATCACTCTTTCCATGAAAAGGAAGGAAGAAAACGAAGTCAAGTTCTTAAAGTAATAAGAGCAGTAGTACTGAACTACAATTTTATTTTACACTGGCCTCTTTGCTCTTAGTCTATGTCATAGAATAACCCACTTCAAGCCTTTTGATATGTTGTATCTTGGATTGGCCACCCTAGCACCACTGGCTGTGGGCCTAGTGTCCCCCAAGCATTGTGAGTTGAACTATTTGTGCCACCACTAAGGTGGCACACAGTGCCACACCAAATACCACCAGAAACAGTGCCCCCCTCCGGCCCCTGCCACTAGTACTTGTGGGGAAGTTTCTAAAAGAGGAAAAAATGAACATTTAATAGAGTTAGCACAGTAGCACTATCCTCCCATTGTTCACTTGCTGGAGCGGGCACCAGTAACGTCTCCATTGTGAGACTTGTTGCTATTGTTTTAGACATATCAAATACTCCACGGGGAGCTTGTCAGGCTCTGCCAAGCGGGCAGGATGCTCTCAGTATTTTGCTGAGCTCTTTGAGAGGGGCAAAGGAATTGAACCCAGGTCGGCCACATGCAAGGCAAACGCCCTAACCACTGTGCTATTGCTATTGGAGCTATAATAGATATTATTTCTTTGGAAATACTAGATAACAAAATGATTCATTGACAGAAAGCAACCAAATAGGCAATAAATTATATAGAAAAGATGAAATGTCCTTAGTGTGGAATATTATTTTGAAGTTTAGCATGTTAAGAAAGGTAGTAAAACAAACAACTTTCTAGTGAGCCTTAGTCAAACCACCAAATTAAATAGTAATTCAGCAATCTTTTAGCACGAGGTCTCAAACTCTATCACTAACTGCATCATATTGCAGATATAAAGGGAACCAGGTTCGTGCTAAAGTAACTGCAGTGAATAGAAACAGACTAACTTCAGATCCTACAGAGGAAGACTATTCTATTCTAGTACTGGGCTTTAAAAAAGGAGCGTGTGGGGGGTGGGGAACCCAGAAAAAAAATCATTCAAAAACAAAACTTTTAAGTTTTATTAAGATCACGATTCTCCATTCACTCTACATTAAATCTTACAGGGAGAAGTCTAAGTCAGTACTTCTGCCACTGTAAATACTATTAAGTGCTATACTTATTAATCTAGTACTAAAATGCTTTACACAATGCACTTTTCATGGTCAGTGTTCTTCAGCACTCTGCTCTATATTGCACTGCTTTGTCCTGATGTCATTCTTCAACACTGAATCAAATACATACTCCTCCAAGCGCAGGCACTATGGTTGATGACCTGTCCAGGGCTTCTAATACAGTTACATAGTTGTTGTTGTTGTTGTTGTTTTTTAGTGTATGGTGGTGGAGGCGGTTGTTGTGCCAATTTACTGAAAAGGATTTACAGATGGTAAAAAGCAGATGAAATACAAATATGACCATGTTTGCTCATGAGACAGGGAACAAATCCAGACAGGATCTCCTGCTAGTTGGTGACTTCCTGCCATCCTTTCTAAAATTATGATTATGACTTTATCTCTTTTTCTCCTATCTATAATCTTACCAGTCTGAACAAACTGACTTTCTCACTTACATATCTCTGCCTTTATCTTTTTGTTAAGCCCATTTTCTATTGATACATGATTTTGTCTTCAGAGAACATGTGACTGAAGTGGCCATCAAAACCCTAGCCAAATAGGGCATTCAAACTCAATACATCAAGATCCTCCATGAGCTGTATTATAGATTCACCACCAGTATCTCACCATTCTACAAGGAAATGATCATCAACGTAAAGAGAGGGATTCAGCAGGATGATACCAGTTCACCAAAACTCTTCAGTGCCACCCTCGAGAACATCATGCGACGATTGGAATGGGAAGGAATGGGGGAAGTGAAGATAGACCGTCTTCAACTATACCTGCTTCGCTGATGACATAGTTCTAATAACACCAAATATTAGCCAAGTGGCACAACTTTGGCCGGCTTCAACCGTGAGTGTGGAAAGGTCAGACTGCAGTTGAAATTCACCAAGACAATGTTCATGAAAAACAAACTAGTCTCTGATCTTCCATTTGCTCTCAACTAAACAAACATCTCTAAATGCAGCAGCTATGTGTACCTGGGTCGAGAACTCAACATGAGGGCGACTTGGCACCAGAACTGCACAGGGGGAAGAGAGAGTGTGGAATGCCTTCAAGAGTGTTGAAGAAGTTGTTAAGAGGATGAAGAACCTCCAACTCTGGGCACATCTCTTCTACTGCACCGTTCTTCCTGCACTAATATACACCTCAGAGACCTGGACCCTGCAAAAGCAGGGCAAGAACGCTATTTGGGTCACCCAAAGAGGAATCAAAAGAACTATGCTAGGAGTATCATGCTTCACTCAAGTGAGAGAAGGCATCTGGAGTTCCAACTTCTGTCAACTATCGATGATCAGGGGTGTTTCCTCGTTTGCCAAGGTGTTGAAAATCAGATGGGCCGGACACGTTATGCGATTTAGAGATGACCACTGGACTAGAGCTGTTACCGACTGAATTCCAAGGGCTGTCAAAAGGACACGTGTTTGCCACCTATGAGATGGTCAGAATTCTTTGTCAAAACCATGAACAAACAGTTTGAGGCTCTTCGTGTTCCTGGTACAAGCAGATGCCATTGGGCTACACTAGTATGCGAGAGGGACGAATGGAGACATTATTGGCACCCATTCGAGCAACACAATGATCAACAGGATGACAAGTGATACAAGTTATATAAATAATTTAATAGCTGAATAATCTCTTTAGCATGATTACATTTCATTTTTATTTTTGTAAAAAAATTTTCAGTCTTTTGTGATTTTTATAATTCTAGGTACACACTAAATTCCTTGTTCTTTATCTTTTTGCAATCAGCTGGCATTCAATTAATATTTGTTGAGTGATGTAAAATATAGTTCTTAGTATTTATTTCTAAACAAAACAAACTTGTAGTTAAGGAGATGTAATGATTTCTTCTTAAACAAAGCACCATATGGTGAATACCATTAATGAAGTCCCCAGGGGTTACAGTTTTGTACTATATTGTTTTTTATTTAATAGAAGCTGCTTTTTAAATTTATTGGCATTGATTGGGATTTACTCTAAGTAATGATGAATAGTTTTGATTTGGGCTTAGCTCTACAACAGCACTTATTAATAGAAACAAAGTTAAGACATATTCAATAGGTCAGAAGACTGAGACCATAAATAATAAATAAATTAATATGACAATTTTTATTTTTAAAGCATAAGAAGATACTAAAAAATGCATAGAAATCTCACTACCTGGTATGCAATCATTTACATGTAGAAAGAATTATTTTTTAAATTATAAACTTGTGTTTTCCTTTCCAGAATCTCCCTTCCCAACCCCTTCAATATGCTCTTCAGTTGGTCCCATAAATGACCATTTAGTCCCGGAGCTGCTGGCAAGGCAGGGCTGACTTGTGTTGACCTCCATTACCTCCACTACCCAGCTGTCGCCATGCTCCAGAATGCTTTCTGGATGCTCCGGCTGAGACTCACGCATGACTGAAGCCCCACAGAACAAGATAAGCGTAACTCTGAGACCTAGGACTCCAAGCTCAATGGACCCGGGGACAGAGATCCTCTGCCTGCTCCCACCAACCACAGATGACAAAGGGTTTAAAACTAGGAGCCCCACCCTACCCTGCCCTGTCAGCTTCCACCGCCTGCCTGTGACCCAGGGACTGGATTACACACGGAAGACCCACCCTACCCCTACCAGAACAGGATAAATACCTCACCAGCAGACCTCCACTACCTCCACTACCTCCACTACCCAGCCGCCGCCACTCTCCAGGACGCTTTCCGGAACGCACGGCTGTTTGTCGGCCACGAGGTAAGTTATAACACACTTAATACCCATCTTCCAGGATTGACACACCATATTTGATAGTGTTCAAATATTGTTTGAACCAGGGAAACACCTACAAGGGCGATTAGAGGCCACCTTAAAAGCCTCTATCCCTCTCGGAGAGCCTGGCAAGCTGCCAAGAGTATTCCGCCAGCACGCCCGCAATGGAAAGCTTTCCATTGTGTATTCAATATGCCAAAACCAGTAATTACAATGGGTCTCATTCCCCTGGCCCTGAAGGAGTCACCAATACGGCAGCATTGAGAAGGATGAGGAAGGAGAGGCTGATAAAATCTCAAGGCCAAACTATGCTGCCCAAACAAAGAAAGACAAAAAGGATTGTCTGTACTTTCAATGCTCGTATGATGGCATCAGATGCATCCATCGAGGACCTGATGGTACAAACGCGAAAGATCAAGTACGGCATAATTGGTCTGACCGAGACAAGAAGGCATCAATCATATCACACTGTTTTTGACACTGGAGAAGAAAAGTTCCTCGGAATATGCGATAAAAGAGGCATCGGAGGCATAGGTGTCCTTGTCAACACGAACTTGGCCATGAGCATTGATTCATTCGAATGCCTAACAACCCAAATTGGATGATTATACTTGAATAGGTATGGGTCACTGCCGGTAGTTTCTCTCCTCGTTGTCTACGCACCAACATAGAATTATGATGAAGGAGAAATTGAGAAGTTCTACATGAAGCTGGAGAAGTTCTATAAAGAAGACCACACCTTCTACAAGATCATTGTGTGTTATTTTAATGCCAAGATATGACCGAGAAGATCAGCCAAAGAACTCCACATCGGGACCCATAGCCTAAAATGGAACGAACGGGGTGAGAGACTGTCTGAGTTCATCATGTCGACCAGGACCATCCATGGTAACTCACAGTTCCAGAAGGCTAAATCGAAAGAATATGGAGTCTCCCGGTGGACGGTTCCACAACAAAATTGACCACATCATATTCAATCCACAGTTTTGCCTGACCGATGTTGCTGTTGTCCCAAAATTCCAAATGGGATTGGACCACCGTCTCCTTTGTGCAAAATTTTACTTAACAGAGCAGGGAGAAAAGGCTGTAAAGTTTAAGAAGAGAACTTCCAGAACGACCACCAACTGGCAGCTCTTTGGCACTATTGCTGCAACATGGGCAGATGCCGTCCTTGACAACATTGACGAGGAATACGATCGACTGGTTCAGCACCTCCATGATTGTGTGAGGAACTCCAAGAGAGAGATAGCCACAAAAAATGCCTTTCTTTAAAAACTCTTGAGCTTATTCATCAATGTAGTTTGGCGCATGCCTCAGGCAACCGCAAGCAAACATCTGAGCTCGCAAAGTAGTGCAGAGATGCAATAAAGACCTCAAAGAGAGAAGAGCGGCAGTGTTGGCAGATGTGGCAGAAGCTGGGAAAAGCATTCGTAATGCCTGCCTGTCCTTCCCCAACTACAAGACCAAGATGACTGCCATCCGACATCATGATGGATCTATCACATCTTCCAGAGGGGCAATGGAGAATATTTTCCATGACTTCTACTCAGATCTCTTCGATAGCCATGTCCACCTGCCCACACACCAAATTCCGCAGGATGGATATGTCATTCCCAACGTTCTCCCTTCCAAAATCTGACACGCTATTTCATTGGTAAAGAAAGGAACAACACCTGGCCCAGACAAGGTCAGACCTGAACACTTGAAGAACCTGCTGTCTCATTCCTGACATTCCATATGCTCATCAATATGCGGGCTCGGCAATTCATACACTACCTGTCTGAATGCAAGGTTCCATCCTAGTGGAAAACCAGCAGGACTGTACTTCTGTACAAAAAGGGAGACATCTACGATATTGGCAACTATTGCCAGATCTGCCTATTATCTGTTATTTACAAGCTGTTCACTCGAGTCATCCCCAATAGAATTGGCAGAACACTAAATGAAGGACAACCATGCGAGCAAGCCGTGTTCCAAAAAGTATTCAGCACGATCGACCACATCTACATGATAACCAAGCTCATTGAGGTTTCTCGGGAGTTCAAGATGCCGCTCTGTCCAACATTCATTGATTTAA